TTATTTTCGCTATTTATATATTTGCCATAGCAGGCGTGAACAGAGCTCGCGGAGGAATGATCTTTCATCTAAGAGCTTAGAAAAAACAGGTCTCGTATTATATTTTTGTGTTATACATAATGGTTTTATTTAAAAAAATAGAATTTGAAATAAATTTATTTTCTCTTATAATCTACTCTACTTTAAGATTTTTTAGAGTTGCAACTCCATTTTGCACATAGCATTTATGTTAATATTTTTAAACATTAATAGGCAGATATATGTCGCGCAATATCAAAAAAATTATGAAACTCCTGTAAAAAGAATTTTGCAAAAAAGAAAGATTAAGAAAATGTATGAGACAGTAAATGAAAAAGGCAAGAATTTCTTAGCATATATATTGGAGTTTTATATCGTACGTAATGAACATTTAACATAACGAGATTTTGAAAGAATATTAATTTCTGCTGCAATGTATTATTTTAGCCACTCGCAAAATCCAATATATCCGATAAAATAAATAATCAGTTAATTCTGTGTAATTTATTGATGTTTATACTTATCACTATCCAGAGCAGTACGTGATTTGCGGCGTCATATTTGCGGTTCATATTTTCTCTTAAGGCTAACCGCACTTAACCATGCGCGATTATGAACTGTCCTAGACAGCGCATATTACTTATGTTCACATTTGGAACCGCAGAGTAATATGTTCTATTACGAGTACCACCCGCATGCATTTCTCGCTCATGTTTGTTCTCGTGGTCTCAAGCTGATCGCACAATGATGGAACTATTTATCTTAGGAGAGACATTTTCCGGTTAAAATAACTCGTTCGTCTCTTCGACGTTGCATGAGGACGTCAATTTTGTTCTTGTTTTGGTTAACGCAGCTAATTAAGAATGATAGAATATAATTATAATGCCATTAGTTAGGAATCTCAGTGGCTGGTGGCCTTACGCCATTTTTGTCAATGAATCGAACACCGGAACGGAATCGCAGGAATTTATCATTTTACGGTCACATTGACAGAGATAAACTAATAACCCGCAAATCGATCGATTGGTCGGATAGAGAAGCGAGGCGTTCGTTCTACTGATTAAATGAATTTGCACGAGCGGATCCCCGTTAACACTCCGACCGCCGCAAACCAATCTTCCTGTTCGATTCGACATATCATACATTTTGAATTCCGATTTCAGCCCGCGAGCGAAAAATTACAGAATGTTACAGGTGGTATCATCTCGTTTCTACGCGAATTTTTTTGATATTTTCTGTTAAATATTCAAAACTTTTCATTGTGCGGTCAGAATTAAATTGGAGTAATAAAAAATATATCGTATATTAATAACAAAAATTGATAATATTGCTTTATTTATTACTGACTCCATTTGTTCTTCACTACAATGTATATAGAAACAAAGTTATATGTTTAACAGTTTTAGAATTATTCAAAGTTATTGAAAAAATGTAAAACTCACAATTATAATCGAAAAATAAAGCAGATGATATCTGCATAATTTTTCTTGTGTTAATTAGTTATATGTATATATAAATTATTAGTGATATTCGTACTCTTTTGCGTGTTTTTAGTAATAATATTACATCATGATTATCATAACATTATTATTTAAATAAAAGGCATAATTATAGTCAATAAGAAGCTCGGTTATAACTGCCTGCTACGAAACATTGTATCATTGATAAGTATTAATGCGTGATACTTCTTATACAATTAATTAATAGAAACGTTAAATAGTATACGTTATGTAAATATTATCTCTTTTTTTTGCGCTCTCTTTTTAAATATTATTATCGCAAATTTTATGATTATATTTCAAAATTTTCATAACGATATAAATTAATAAATAGATAAATAATAATTTTAATAGATAGATGATAGATAACGTTATAATGTCAGAATAATAAAACAAACTTGTAGCTGGAATTCGAACGAGTTATTTAGTATTAATATTATAATATTCATAATACAGTATTACGAATTGTTACACTATTATTATACAATATAAATGTATTTTTTTATAAATATATGTATATAATATATATTAATACAGAGAATAATTTAATATGTAAAAAATATCATTTTTTTTACACAGAGATAATAAAATTGAAAATAGTATTGGAAATATTACTGGTAATATAGCATCATATATATATAAATGATGTAATATTTTGTAGTAAGCAGTGTTGTGACTGAGCTTATTACTGATCATAATTGTGTCTTTCGTTTAAACAATATTATGATAATCATGATGTAACATTATTATGTAAAAACATCTCATTGTCAGAGATAGCACGAACGTTATATGAGACTAATGATTTATATAACTGTATATACAATAAATACATGCTTCTTAATTGCGTAACGATCGAATAATTATCTTAATCAGACCAAACCAGTTTATCCGATTAACTTGCTTCTTCATTCATTCATCTTTTCAACTTCCGACACGTGCCGCATTGATATAAACGCCGAACTATAACTCAGTATGACCACACACCGTGATATATCGAATGCATCGGAGAAAGACTGGTATTTCATCTACTCGCTTATATCCACGATGTTATGTCCACGATGGCTATTTGTTTCGAGTGCTCGCCAACGCTGTTTCGCGGGCATTATTAAAATGGGGCTATTACGCAATTTGCATGGCGACAATGGCATAAGGCGCCGCACCCTGAAAAGGGGGCTGCACGATAAACGGTAATAACGCGGTGCTTGATATGATGAAGAAAAAGGAAAAGTCGAGTATGCTCTCTTTTCAGGTCTGGGGATACTCGAATGAGATAGATAGCGAGAACCACAAAGAAAAGACAGATAAAGTATAGGCATGCGGGAGATAAAAAAAAAGCGATAAAAGATATAATTATTTTACCGTGCTCTTTTTATCATCGTATGTATTGCGTAAGCGGTCATTGTACGTGACATTTTAGATTTTGAATGGGAAACAAATTCATGTATAAAAAAAGAATATCGTTTTCTTAGCATATTCATAATTATGAAAAAATACATAACTTAAAATTCAAATAAACGTAACTTTATCTGAAATTGCGAAAAATGACTGTAAGATAATATCAAAAAGGTTAAAACTATACACATGTATACATATACATATAAATCATATATGTGAGTCTACTATATTCTCTCTATAGTAAATTTGAATAAAATACAAATATTCTCATACACAAAAATATATTAGTGTTTCTATCATCTAAAAATAATTTGAGAATAAATATTTGTGTGAAAATTGTATCTTTTTTTTTCAATAAAAAATTTAGATGAAAGAGATTGTCCAGACACATCAACACATACATAAGAATAGTAACATGATCTGTCGTATTTCAGAAGAGGACAAACAGTACTTTCAGTGTACTCGTAGAAAATTGAATATTTCTTGGTAGATTCATGGTGACGAGAAACCGATTGTATCTGTGTACGCTAGTCCTTTGCGGGTCTGCTCCGCAAACAGCGATGACAATTGACAATCGCAAATTGCTTATTGTATTGATGTTTAATTTATTTATTTTTTTAAAGAGTTTTTTCTGTGGATTTAGATGGATTACGGCGGAGGGAAGTAAATTCAATATACATATGTCATTACTATACAAATAAGAGATCCGTAGTCAAAATACTATATTGGACACATTATTACAAATTATTTATCTTGTAAACAAAATTTATTCGATACTTTATAAACAGAAAGTGTTCATTATGTATCATTTAAAATACATAAAGCGGATATTGGTAAGTTTTTGATTTGAATCCTCACAGTATCAATCAGACGTGAGAATTGAGCGTTATATCGAAAATTAATGATCCGAACGTGACTGACGATTAGTGACACGATATATTTTTTTTTCAGTCTTTTTTATCTCTTTTTTTTCTCATTTTCCGTCACCTCGCAAAATGTTTGTCTAATGACTCGCCTAATTTTATTATCATTATTCACCCGAGTAATATTTCTCTAAACAGTTTGGAATTATTTCGCTGATGCATGATGCGCATATGTTCTATTATCTCCGACATATCAAATACCTCAATGCATGGTGCAACAAGCAACATTGCAGCAAATTATATGCATAAAATAGATTGCCATCTGTTACGTAGGCCAGCCGAAGCCTATCGATGCGAAAACAGACGCGGATTAGAAGAGAGGAATAGCACGTGATTTGCATTTCGGCTGGTGTTTCTGGTATCCTATTTCTAAAGCAGCTCAACAAATAATATCACTTAGAGATATTCAAAGGTAACGATTGAAATTCGAAATCATAGTTTTCTTTCTCTCTCCCTCTCTCGTGGGTGAAAGTATGAGATTTTATTCACTGTACACCATCGTAGCCTATTTTAGACTGTATTTCGCGATAGGGTAAGTCATTATAAACACTGACATCGAGATTACTTAAAGGAAATCGTAAATACAAAAATATTAATTTGCATTGAACAAATATTTATCCCCTAAATTAAAGAAATAAGAATTAATTTTGGAGCGTAATAATAAATTATATTGTCGTTATTATTATATAACGTACTTTTTCTCTCTCAGCCAAAAATGCCTCTCAGTTTAACTTACATAATGTCGTGTGCGGAAAAAAAGATATCGATCGCTTTTTCGTCGCACGGTCCATTTAGCAATCTGTCGGCGATTCCTCGACAAGAAGCCGCCGTCAGTCTGCGCCGATAATTTATCAAGAGGGTGAGTTTTCGAAAGTTTTCAGGGGCAAGCACCTGTGGAATACATCTATACTTAGAAATCCCAAGCGGCGACGGCGGCTCGTCGTCGATAATCGAGATGCGAGATTCGAGTTCGCGTACGAACGTGAACTCAAAATTCGCGAACGACTGCGAGGGAAGACAGAGTAGGAAGAACATCGTGACCGAAGTATACGGGTACGTGTGATTGGACGAGAATGCTTCGGTGGCGGATCGGCGACAGGGGTGGGAACCGGTCCCGGGGGTGGGGACGTGCATGGAGGGTGCGAGAGTCGCAAAGTCGCACGGGGCTTATATAAACGCGCGGCGAACGGTTTGCCTTCGCAGAGCCGTATCCACCGTCGCTGGACGACAGACTATCATCCCCGCAGAAATTCCCCGGTAGACCCGCTTCTGTCAGATCCCTGGCTTTTAGCAGCGTCAAGGTACACATTCATTTTCTAAATGCATTTATCTCCCGTTTTCGCGTAACAAAATCATTCTGATATTTCAAGAGATATGTCCCGCAAGATCATCTACACTTTTTGTTACATATAGATTTTTACCAAAAGTTAGAATAATATTTTTTTAATGGAAAAATGTTAAGACCAGGAATTCAGCATTATATATGATTAAAAATGTAGATGATTTTTATAAAAGTAAAAAAAAATATATATGTAACTCTAATATATAGATTTTTACGTATATTATATTTTGATAAATGGATAATACAGAGTTTTATTCCTCATTTAATTTCAAGCGCAATATTGTTTTAACAAAGATTTAGTTCGTAGAATAATGGCAAAGATATTTGAAGTTAATTTTGCTGCAGCAGTATATCATTGACATTAATAATCGTTCACATAAACCGGATAATAAGTTGCACGTATTCCCGCAATCCGATACACTCTGTCAACAGTTAGATAAATAAGTTTGCGTTTGCGATTATCCAATAGAAACTTTTGGCACTGCATCTCCCAGTAGTAAAACCTTACGATATTTCAGACAGTAGTAGCTTCTCGCAGTTTATCATCGGTAGAAGTTATGACAAATAATTGAAAATTCTACCCATTTCCTAAGACAAGTTGGATATATTATTATTTTAAAGCTGATACTTTTATTCTGATAATTTTATTCGATATTGGCGAGGAAAATTAATTCTAATTTTTCAAAAAAAAATTCATGGTTAAAATAAAGTTTTATTGAAATATTTTACAGAATATTTTATGTAATATAAAATAAAAAATTGTTATAGAGGTTATATTTTATTTTCAATTATAAAATTATTAAAATGATATCAGTCATACATTAAATAAATTATTATTACTTTTTTACTTATTTGTAGAAAGATATTATGTTTTTCTTAATAGTGATAAGAGAGAGCTGTTTAAACAATGGTAGATGAAAATATATTTTTCGAAAATAGAAAAAATAATCCATTTGTGTTTTGTATGCGACGACATGCAAAAGCAAAATTTTTTGGCGTAATAATAAAACAAAAGACGATACAAAGGTATATATTGTGTGAAAGTGACGTGAAGAAATTATTTAAGTTGTTAAACCGTGAGCATATTATGGAATTTGTACGAAGTTCGACAAAAACGGCCTCGTAAATCCGTCGAAACGCGAAAAGTTTTGCTTGCTTAAAAACCTATGTACCCTCGGGCGCTGGTCGGAAAAGCGAAATGAGATGGTGTGGGAAGAAAAGACTTTATTTTAATTAAATAATGAATAACCAACCTATCTATAAAAATTTTTCCCGAGCTACATATTATTAGTACAATAAAATTAAGCAAGAAAAATTCATTCTTTATTTAAAAATCGAGTAAACTTTATTCTCCTTGAGAGATATATAATACAAATTTTTATTATTATAAAGAAGAGAAAAATTTTATTGCCATTTAATGTGAAAAACTTATGAATAAAAATATAATTATATAAGATTATGATCTTTCCCAAAAGTAAAAAATTAATTCTAAGTTCACATAAAAAAAAATCTTGTTTCTAAGTTCACATAAAAAAATTCTTGTTAAAATTAAGATTGATTATATCGGGACACTCTGTATTAATGCATAAAATTCGACTTGCATGGACTTCGTTGCGTGTTTCCGCTGCAAAATACCTATCGTCACCAACATTCATTCCACGCTCGTAGCACAACGTGATCGCGGTTGAAAGGGTATGTAATAGCCTGTAGCGGCAAAAGGATTAATTGTTGACAGATAAAGCACCTAATGAAGCGCATACACCGCAATAACCAATCATGATTCTGCAACGCTATTGCTGGCGCACGAAAAGAACAACCGACGCCTATTTGGAAACAAAACATGAAAGCGTCGGAACCGCACCGCGGTCGCATTATGATAATTTGCAGTCGATTAATATCTAATTACAGCCGGATGCGACAGCAAACGCGCAGTAGGATGATTATTCTGCGCGTATCCTCGTAATTTCCCCTTCAATTACCATAATCGATTAATAAGACTGATTAATAAGACTAATCAACCAATCAATTGGCTGCTTAAACTGATTATTTGTTTAAATTGTTTGCTTAAAAACTAGCATAGTTAGTGAGCTTTTTAATAAATAACTCATTGACAATTTATATATTATTTGAAAGAACTCTGCTCAGAAAATAAAGTAGTTTGCAAGATATAAACCAATTTTGTAGAATTTAGACGAATTTGTGACACCAAAAGCGGTGTGTGTTTCCATATAAATAGTAAAAAACTTTTTGGCACGCAGCTTTACGTGTTTTCATTTGAAACTTTTTAGGACTGTGTATGGTATCACGAAAAGCATTAACGTTCTTTCTATATCAATCAAAAAATTGCTTCATTGGCAACGTAAAAGAATGGAAAAGAAAAAGTGTGCCATTTTGCTTTTTGAAAGCTTGGCATCCAGTGCGACTCCGGAGTTAACCGGTAATGCATTTTACACCCCCACATTTATATATTTATAAATTTATTTAATATGAGAAAAAGCTGAATTTTGTATGCGCGCGAGTTTTCCTATAAATATGTAATAATTTCCTCTATAAATATTCAGAAATTTCTTATAACATCTTAAAATGTGAAATATATAATTATGAGCAATTAAATAATCATGATTGAAAGAATACATTTTTTTTATCTGTATATTATTTTCAGATTATATATCAATTATTATTTACATTGCTTGTAATATCATACAATTTGATTACATTAATTAATTCTCGATAAGAAGCCGCGTTCATTTTTGATACATGGCTTTTAACAAATTTAAATTCCTGTGTTTTTCTTGTTGCGATTTTAAAATTCCACACTTAAGTAAGTCTCTGCGTCATGAGGCATTGATTAAATTCTATAAAAGCAAGATAGATTATAAAATTGAAAAAGGAGCACGGACTTATATAGCATAAGAAAGATGGAATGAAAACGGTCGAATTTTGCTCTGCGGTAACTGTTACAATTGATAATCAAATATTTACTATAGTTCGCGCGCGGAAATGTGAGTAAATATTTTACGATTGACTTTAGATAGAAGTTACGCATTTCGTTGTATTTACGAAACGATTAACGACAGTGGTCAGAGGCGCCGCGCCGGCAGAAAGATGTTGAGCTAAAGAATTGGCTCCGGAATTAGCAGTGAAAAAGTAATGTCGTCTGAGCGCGCTTTTGCTGACATTTAACTAAGCAGGAAATGAAAAAGCTGTTTGCAATTAATTACTTCGTATGATATAAAATATCTTTTAGCAAGTATTCTTTTAGTGATTCTCTAATAACTTACAATCTTAATAATAATAACGTCATATTTATTTTAATATAATTAGAAATCGTGAAAGCTCAGAAAAAGAAACAGAATAAAATTTCTCTCGCTTTCTTTTTTTTTCTTTCTCTCGCACTGTCATTATTTAAAAATTATTATTATCAGAGAAAACTTACATTAAAAATGTAAAATATCTTAGAATTCTTTTGCGCGAAAAGTTAAAAAAATAATAATAAAAAATATATATACTAATAGAAAAAAAGAAAGAATAATATAAAAGAGAGAAAGAGAGAAAGAGAGAAAGAATAAAAAATTGAAGTTAAGATAAATAAAATTGAAAAAGCTATAACTTAAGATTATCGTTAAATCTGATTATAACCAGTAGACCATACACACGTATAACGACATAGTATACGATTATACTAGTTATTTCTATTCCTACATTTAAACAAGACGGTGCTTTTTTGGAATAAATTTTATAAATTAGCGGGAAGCAAATTGCACTCTGCTCACCAAATGTCGGCGAGAAGCGACTAATAATGTCATTTTGCAACGATACGTCTGTGAGTTTTGTTTGAATGGACTCTTGATGGTAACGAATCCTACCTGTGTAACCGGAACGCGGTTTAACTTTCACGTTTAACGAAATGAAATCCGTGAGAGGATATATCTTGTCTGCAAACGTGATATATGTCTCGCCGTGGTAAATCGTTTAAAGTATTTACTTCGCTCGAATCAGTGTTCGTGCACATGTATACATACGAAGGATGTACGTTTCATATTTATTTCAAAATTTACGTAGTTTTAAAGGCGTCCATACGTGTAGAATAACCAGCATGGAATATCATTGATTTACAAAATGCGTTGATTTAATTTTCTACATCATGCTTTTCGATATTATTGGACATATTATATACGCCAAACTTTGGGAAAATATATTGTCAATAGTATATAATCGACCGAAGTGCTTGCGGCAATATATTTTGATTGTGATTTTGATTAAAAGTTCATGTGTCTTTTTTGAAGTTGAGGGAAATTGATAGCAATTTTATCTGATTTTCAATCACCCAAAAAATCATAGAATTGTATTTTAGCAATAAAAGAAAATGGTTGCAATAAAATAAATCAATTACGGTAAAACGAAATGGTTACCAAAAGAAGAACACATAAACTTATAGAACAATATAACAATAATAATATATATTATTCACACATACACATACACAAGCTCGTTCAATAATAATTAAATTTATGAAAAAGAAGCTTAAGTTTTTTAATGTATTCTGTGAGCAACTCTATTCTCTGGATTTACAACATTTTTAGATCAACCTTTTTAATTATGTTTCAGTCAAAAGCACAGATATAAGTTTGTTTTATCGTAACAAAAATTCTCGCGGAAGCTAAACTTTTGAACACGAATCGCGCGGCACGAAGTATCATTGATTTATAGGTAAACTCGCCAGCCTTCTCTTATTGCGATGGCCATAGAAATTCCAGTGGACTGAAAAGCAGTAGCTTTTAATATAAGTGCGAATAGCATCATGAGCATCCGTGTATAAGCGTACATAACCGATTTAATGGTGGTGATCATTGTACCTATCGTTTCTAGGAGATGTCCGAGGTTCAATACTATTCATCTATGATTTCTGTACTTTAGAGATGATTTTTCTTTGGCTAAGACAAGTTTGATTAAATGCTG